CAAGCATCCTACCAACTGAGCGGCCACCATGACTAGCTTTCTCTTCCTGGGTCTCCGGCACACAGAGCCCTTCTCAAACCTAACTTAAATCCACTGCCAAAAAATTTAGGAAATCCAGACAAACAAGGAATAAGTGCTTATATCACCCGTGATCCCCCCCCCCCTAGCCCCCCCCCCGGGGGCCGGTGGTGTTAGCACCTTCGAGTAGTGTATACACATGTATACACTCACAGGATTTGTGCTGTTTGCCACACAGTATTCTGAAGCAGGCTCTTATACCTCTCACTACCCAGCAGTGTATGCTCAGTGGCCATGACATTACGGTCCCTCACTGTTAAATGTTGCATTTGTTCAACTGCCGAGCTGCCTTGTCTTGAACATTAGTTTCCAGTGGTTTCACTGCAGTGAGTGACCCTGCTGAACGGGGACCCTCTCTGCTCTGCTGAGAGATGTTTCCCTCTGAGACGCTCGGGCTTGGACTTCCAGGCCCGGGATAGCATGTCCTCTCAGGACTGTCATCCCAAATGCCAAGTTGTCCTCCTGAAACTCATGCCTGCCTCCTCCCCCCAACCCCCGACTGGGGACTCATGCTTTTCTCTCATGACATTGCTAGGTAGAAAGCCACAGACTCAAAACTCTCTCCAGCTGCTGGGGTGCTGCAGCTGTACCCCGAAGGCAATAGAAATACAGTCCTCTTCTTCCACCTTACCCAGCACAAAGCACCTTGAAGGGCTGGCCACCTGGCATGGCCGCCACAGCCGCCTCCCTGCCCGTGTGCATGCCTGGGTGTGTGCTCAAGGCCTGCAGCGCAGACCTCGTGGCAGGACGGCGAGCTTGAGTTATAGCGGACCTGATTTCCCCGCACAGCTCCCACGGAGTTAACAGATGTACGCGCGTCTGAGGCAGTCAGGCGGCAAGAGGCTTTGGGGCCGATCCTTCCCGTTTTGACAGTGTGTAATCGAGGTGAAGCCATAAATTTTATAAACAAGAATAAATGCCCCTTAGCAACATATGTCTGCTCGACCCTTCCAAGGTGATCATAAATAAAAACACCTAGTAGCCGGGGAGGGACGTGGGCATTACAGATGGCCGCCGAGGAGGACCAGAGGACTTGCGACCTGAGATCATCCACACGGAGTTCCTTCTACAGATGGAGTAGAGAGGTCACCTTGCACGGTGGATCTGGAGTTGTCCGGATGCTTTTGTGCCATCTACTGGGCTGGGTCTCTGGCAGCTTTTGCCTGTGTCACTTGGAACAGGCACCTACATCTCTTGTTTTCCCTGGAATGCCTGCTTCTGGCTGGGCCAACCAGGGTCCTCTGGGAGCTTTCCAATTCTTTCCTCGTTTCCTAGAGAAGCAGCCTACCCCACTTAATGATCAGCCTACCCTAACTGCCCAAGGAGAACACCCTGGGGAACAAGACGCTGAACAGGCTAGAGAACTGAGCAGGCTGGAGAAAGATCCAAGCTCAAGGGCCAGAATGGCCTTGGTACCAGGCATGGAGTGGGCCCGGCTTCTGTGTTTGTAACAAAGGTGATGATGGCAACTTGCTGGGGCTGCTGTGGACAAGATGCTCTCTCTCTTTTCTCTGTGTATGTTTACAGGCACACATGTAACGTGCAACAGGAGTTAAAGGTCAACTCCTGGGAGCTGTCTTCCCCTTCCACCAGAGGTCAAACTCGGGACATCAGTTCAGGGGCAAGGGCCAGGCCATCTCACCAGCTCACAGTGGGAGGGGTTGCAAAGCTCTTCAAGTACCCTGAGCAGGGTGGCACACAGTTGGAATGACAGTGCTCAGGAAACTGAGGCAGGAGGACCTCACATGTGAGGCCAGTTGGCTCTGTAATGATACCATGTCCCAAATTCTGGTTCCCCACCTGGAACTCAGACTGTGATCTGAGGAGGACAAAGCTCTCAGCCCGGCCATGACAGCCACACAGCCCAGGCCTCAGCGTCAGCCTCCACCTCAGGCAGTTGCTGTTACTCTGTTAGAGTGCCAGGCACAGTGGTACACCATGTACTGCATGTAATGCCAGCACTGTGGAGGACCAAGGAGCACTCAGGCGGGAGGATCGCAGGTTCCGGGCCAGCCTGGGCTACACAGCGGTTAAGTAAATTGCTCTAGGCGACTCAACTAAGATGTGGGAAAGCTGTCATTTGAACCCAAGTAACAGCAGCTAGCATTTGCCGGGCCTTTGTTCAACATTCCCTGGTTAAGCCCTCCCCGTGACCCTAGAGCCTGAAGACTCATCATCTTACCAGAGGCGGTAACAGGGAAAAGATGACCAGCGTGTCTGGGGCTCAGAAGCTGGGAAGTGACAGGGCCAATCTCAGACCCGGGTTGAGGGAAGCCAGAGGGAAGCTGATCTCACAGATCACTCACTGTCCCTCCAGGCTGGGTGACCACCTGAGTCCCCCAGCAGCCTCTCTACACCCAGGCACTCCATCTTGCCTTCAAGGCCGGGGCTATGTTGCTTATGGAAGCTGCCCAGGGATCTACACTTAGCTCTTGAAGAGTGTGGCCCAGGCTGGCCTTAAATCCCCAGGTTGTTTAGGGAATCCACCTACCTCAGCCCTCCAGGTGGCTGGGATAACAGGTATATACCACGGTCCCCAGCTTGCGTGGGAATCTTACCTTGGGGTTACACGGACTTCTGGGATGCATGCAAACTCGGCAACCAACCGCGATAGAGCTCGTGTACCACCCCAAAGAGCGTGTGCACAGCTTTCTCCTAAGGTAACAACTGATGGTTTGGGGGTTCCAATTCCATAAGGTGGCTGAGACCCCTCCCCAAAGCTCTCAAGCCCTAATCTGCTTGTCCTTGTCCTACCTGGACAAAGCCCCATCTTCCAGGAGGGACTCAAAGAGCAGCTCTGGGCTCTGACAGTGGAAGCCATGCCCCCTGCCAGAACCCCAAAGGCAAATTTATTTCTCTCAGTGATCAAGACAGGACCAGCTCGGGCAGCGCACTGGCAACAGGATCCTCAAACCCCGTCTGGGGAGAGAGATGAGCCACAAATCCTTCCAGGCACTGATTTATGTAGCATTCATGCGGAATTTATTATACAAAGAATTTTATTCAATTAAAGTTGAAATGCGTCCGGATTCTTAAAGGTTCAGCCGTGATCACTGGGACAGAGCAATCGTAAAACTGGATGGACTGTCGGGAGGTGCTGGGGAGGAGGTGAGGGTGACATTGCGGCTGACAGGGAACTTGGAACCGGGGACGTTTATCACTGGGATGTGCTACAAGTTCAGGCTCTGAAAATTACTCCGTGAGAAATGCACATTAACAAGAGCCGTAAAGTATCAGTTAAGGGAGACCCAGCTGAGAGATGCAACAGCAATCTGTCAGTGCCTGGCACTGCTTGCCGCAGCCCAGGTTGTGATTAAAACAATTGTCAAGTGCCACTGGGCTTGGGTGGGGTGGGGTCATGTGGCCAAAGCCTTGGTTAGTGCTGAGCCTCAGTTTCCCTTCCTGTAGAAACGTGAACTCCCTACCCCCAGTACCTCAGGTGAGGTCCTGTGTGAGTGCTTCTCGAGCCCTTTGATACCACGTCGGGGTTCATTCACCTCTGAGAATGCTGGTGAACACTGCTCTGATGAGCCCCGACTAGGGGACATCTTTTCAGGTGTGAAGTATGGGACGGAAAAAAACTAGGCAACACCCTAAAACCCACTGAAATGTCCATTTTAAAAGGAGGAATCTTATGGTGGTTGGGTTGTATCTCAGTAAAAGCGCTTTCTACAAAATTTCTCAAGAGAGAATGCCTTCCTGCAATGTTTTCAAGGGTTGAATTAGAGAGACAGAGAGAGAGATATGATAAATGGGTACAATTTAAAAAAGTTTTCGTAGCTTGTTAGCGTGCAGTGGGACTCGCCCCATGAGGACTGTGGGTGCTGTGTACAGGGCTAGGCATGCCTCAAGCCTGAAGGTGAGGATATATCTTTCCAGTGTCAGTCAACATCCTAACGTGGGTGTTGAAAGCAGCCGGGCACAGGCTAGGGGCGTGGCTTCCCATTCTCTTGAGTTCACACTTTATTTTTTAGGAAGACCTGGAGCTGTAGGCAGAGTGGCAGGGCTGCTTCAAGCTCTTGGAACATGGCTTCCCCAGCCAGGCCCAGACCAACAGCACGATGCTTAAGTTCCCTAAGTTTGTGCCTCCTGTCTCTGGACTCGAACACACAGCACCAACTCTATACCCAATCCGTGTCTCCCTACGGTGTCTGCAATAGCATTGGACAGGACAGGCTCCTAGAGGTAGTCCTCCCTGTGGGACATCTACCCTTCCCAGGGCCCAGAAGACACATAGCTAAAATCAAGGGCTCACTGATTGACCAACAAGACAGCTAGAGGGGCCGGTCCACCCACACCTAGCACGGAAGGCGTGCCAAGCTGTAGCAAAGGAAGCGGCAATCGGTGAGCTGAGTCCTCAGGTGTCGCAGACCGGCCCTTTGTAAGCCACTGCCTCCAGCCTTTCATAAATATCCCTCTTCCCAAGGGCACAGGCGTCACTGTGATGTCACCTCACAGGGAGAAGAGGCAGTGGTGGCAGGTAGAGTAACAGCCATGATGTGGCTCACGGAAGCATAGACCAGCCGAGGGACATCAGAGAGCTCGTGCCGGGCTGAAGACCGCATTTCTGCCACTGCCCGGGGCAGGGAGGGCTGCCTGTCTCCTGCCCTGATGGAGAGGATTCTCCGAGTTGCACCCCTGTGGACTTGCCGCTGTCTTTCCCCAACACTGTGGCAGTGATGGGCGGCTCAGAGGTGACTAAACTCCTCGAGCCTGCCTTTCCTTTATAAATGTGACATTTAAAGCCCCGTTGGCGCAGGTAAATCACAATTACACTTCCAGGAGCCTCTGGTACATTCCAAGTCCTTGAACAGTCTGATTTGGCAGTGCGCTGTTTCTCTCTCTCTCTCTCTCTCTCTCTCTCTCTCTCTCTCTCTCTCTCTCTCTCTCACACACACACACACACACACACACACTCACACACACACACACACACACACACACACACACACAGAGCCTACTTGCACAGTTCAAACCTTCCCCATGTTCATTCTCGATTCCGAGTGGCCCATCCCCTTCGAAGCTTCCAGTGGACCTTGCCTTCCTGGAGTCTGGAACTCAGTTGATGTGTTTGACACAGCTCAGAGAAGCCAGGAGTCTCAGAGGTCCCTGGAGCATGGGCATGAGGCAACGCTGAGTCTGTACCTCATGGCCACTTCCGCTCTCAGCGCGACCATCTGGAGTTGACCGCTCACCCGCCATGTCGTCATGTCTCACACTTCACGCTTCTTGTATATTTTCTCTTGGCTTCCCTCCTTCATGGCTGCATATCTGGCTACGGTGAAGAGGTAGTCACTGAGTCTGGAGGGCAGAGAGAACCAACGAGAAGGATGTAAGATGACTGACCGGTGCTAGCAGGGCCCCGTCTGCCTTCAGGGAGGAAAGGTGAACGGAACACTCCTGATGGCACAGACTACGGCACGCCAGGGTGGGAAGGGCAGGGACCCTAAGCTAACAGTTCCTGAGTTTCTTCTATACTTCCAACAACAGGCATGCTGCATCTGGAACTCAGCATGTAGTGAGAATTCTGGTTTCTTTAAAAACCCAGTTATGCTAGGTGGCTATGCGTCTGTTGTAATTCCAGGTGTGGGCTATGGGGCTGCTTCAGTTTGTCCACAGCCGCTGACTATGATTGTCTCGTGTTCCAGGAGAAGCGTGATTTTTGCCAGCTGCAGATAGTTTAATTCCGGGGACGCTTGAGAGTGTGTACATAGGAGAAGCCCCGAGAGGGCCTTCCCACTCCTGCTGAATTGCTGTTTTGCTGGTTGGAGATGTCTTGATGGCAGAGATTGGACCTGCCCATAAGGAACCTGATACCCCTGGTCAGTAAGAAGCAGTCTGACGAGGTCTATGCTCAATTCTCCCTTTAACCTTCTTTCTTTCCTACCTAGTGTAGAGGAGTTGGAAGGGACTGGGGTGGAAAAAGGTTGGAAGAGTGGTAGATAATAGAACCCAAATAAAGTACCCCCAAAAGTACACCAACCCCCAGGAGAGTTGAGCCAGCCCAGAAGCCTGCAGGTCAACCCAGCTCCAGCCTCTATCTTCAGGAGCTACATTTAGAACCAAGAGGCCTTATGTGGGTCGTAACCATGGAACTACCGATGTTCTGGATTAATCTTTGTGGCTGGGGCTCTCCTGTGCATGCAGGGTTGTCATGACATTCTTGGTCTCTACGTAATAAGTGTCAGTGGCACCCAGCACCCACTATGACCCAAACAGTCTCTAGACACTGCTAGTATTCCACCTGAGCATCAGTCTTCAGTGTCCTCATGATAGATGAGGCTAGTCCCCTAGCTCTTCATTGGGCCCAGCACTGATGGGTTCAGGGCGGCAGGCCTTCTTCAGGGACAGGGACAGCCTAGGAGACAATGTCACACCTGTCTGAGGTACTCTCGAGGCTCTGACCTCCTGGAGGCTCAAAGCAAGCTTGCCACTTCTCCACGCCTTCCTGCTTGCCCCCTACCCTGTGCCCCGCTCCACAGGCCTTCCCTTCCCTCTGGTGTCCTCCTCCTACCTCTAGGGACCCATTACTGGCTATCAGACTAGACTCTGCCTTGGCATTGCCCCTCTGAGCCTTGTGTTCCTGGGGCAACCATGTGCTGCTTTCTTGGTGACTCTCTGGAACCTACAGGGAGGGCACGGCCCACCCTGACCCACATAACATGGTTGGGTCAGCACGTGTCCTCAGGGTTGCCACTTCTGAGTTTATAAGGAGCCATTTCGGGGGCTGGAGAGATGGCTCAGCGGTTAAGAGCTCTGACTGCTCTTCTGGAGGTCTTGAGTTCAATTCCCAGCAACCACATGGTGGCTCAAAACCATCTGTAAAGAGGTCTGAGGCCCTCTTCTGATGTGTCTGAAGAGAGCCACAGTGTAGTCACATACATAAAATAAATAAATCTTAAAAAAAAAAAAATAAGCCGGGCGGGGTGGCGCACGCCTTTAATCCCAGCACTTGGGAGGCAGCGGCAGGAGGTGAGTTTGAGGCCAGCCTGGTCTAGAGAGTGAGTTCCAGGACAGCCAGGACTACACAGAGAAACCCTGTCTTGAAAAACCAAAAAAAAAAAAAAAAAAAGAACCATTTCTCACTTGACCTGGGTGACATCTCACCCAGAAGGAAGATTCTATGAGGATCCAAGCTAGTCTACATCCTGGGGTGGGGTGGGGGTGGGTAACACAGGACACAGGTAAACCCACAGCTAGGCGTTGTGAGGTCACTTCCTGTCTTGCTAGGCAGCTTCTAGGGTGCAGCCCTCATGTTTCCCTAAGCCCTCCACCAGCTCCTGGGCTCCTGCCTGGCCTGCACTAGCACATCTGAGTCAGGCTGCAGGAGAAACCAGAAGCCCAGCTGCAGGGCAGAGGCGGAGCGCAGAGCAATGCCCTCCTGGAGTAGCCTTGCTCAGAGCACAGGGGCCTGAGCTCAGCATAGCCCAGCTGTGGGCCGCCAGGGCTGGACAGGTTCCACTTTACCACGGGCCACCATCAGGTATCGTCTCTGCTGGCTCTAATTTCCTAAGCAGAGCCTGACCTCAGAGTGGGACAGGGCCCACCAGGGACACAGTAAGCTCCAATATGCATGACGGAGGGAGGGGCTTAGCCCCCGCTGCTCTTGGCCGAATTGTACTGCTATGACCAAATCCCTGGCCGTCAGACAGGCCCACCACACTCCACTTAAGCACCTGTTTAAGAACTTGGCCACGTTTGCATCCGTCTCTCCCATCTGGACAAGAGGGACCACGCTGTGAGGAGAGAACACACAGTCAGGTTACAGAGCAAGGCTGGGACACGGACGCTCGACGCTTGACCTCACTATTCAAACCTAGTCCTGACAACTACAACCTGACACAGCCTACCTACCACTGCCTCAGTCGACCCCTTCCCTTTGACATACACATCGAGGGCTGGCCAGAGAAGGAGACACAGCAGGCAAGCTGAGGGTAGGCTAGCCAACAGCCCAGCCTGTTGGCCTTTGTGCCAACAGAGCCCGGCCTGCACTCCTCCGTGGGTAGAGCTATAAACCTCTAGTCCTCAAAGGGTTTTATCTAGCCTTAATCCCCAAGGAGCTACTCGTTCTAAGTTGTAATTCTAATTACCTGGAAGCCCCACGCCTGGCTGCATGCATATGCTTGGTCCCCTGCACGGCCTGATCCCACTCAGCTGGTCATCCCCCCCTGAGCTAGCCTTGGGGGTGTTGACTTTGGCCTTATCCAAGACTATATACTTGGCCATCGGCCTAGGAAGTCTTCTATTCTGCCAGAACCTCCCACTCAGCATGGTTTCTTCACCTAGGTGTCCTTTTCTGGCAGGTCACCTCGTGGCCGAGGGCTGTCAGCCACACTGAAGGTGGGACAGCAGTTCAGCCTCGTGCTCCATCCTGTACTTCTGCCAGGGGTGTGCTCCTGAACTAAACTCCACTGTTGATGCTGAAAGTCCTGCTGATGTGGGTGACTTTGTACAAACAACTATTTTTCTCTGGAGGCCCAAGCGTTTTTTGTTTTTTGTTTGTTTGTTTGTTTGTTTGTTTGTTTCAAGACAGGGTTTCTCTGTGTAGCCCTGGCTGTCCTGGAACTCACGCTGTAGACCAGGCTAGCCTCGAACTCAGAAATCCGCCTGCCTCTGCCTCCCAAGTGCTGGGATTAAAGGCGTGCGCCACCACCACCTGGCTCCAAGCATTTTTTGTCACCCAGGATGTATCTGGGAATGTCCAGACTCAACAGCCTTTGGTGAAGGAAGAAGGCTTGCGATCTGAGAGTCTGAAGATTCCCCCCCACACCCCCCCATAGCAGCCGCAGAATCTCACTAACCTGCTCCTGACCCCTGGAGCTGTTGTGAGGAGCCCCTCAGATGTGGACAGATTCTCTCTGGGGTCCCCCTAACCACAAGGCCCCTGGCAGTCCTTTCCGTGGCTTCTAGCAGGGTCCTTTCATGGTGTTCTCCCCAGCCCCCCATCTTAGGGAGCCTGTGACACTAAGAGCAGGAAAAACTCTGCTTGGGCTCTCACCAGCATGAGTCCCGTATCACAGTCCCCTCTGAGATATAGGACTCGGGACACAAAGAAGACACCTACTGCATCGGCCTCTGGGACCCTTACCGTCGTTCGGCTCGGCGGCATACGGCCCGGCAGAAATGCAGGGCAGAGCTGCTCTTGCCTCCAGACTGAAAGAGAGAGTGAGTGTTGGCCACTGTCGCTCTACGCTGGGCAGGCTTCTGTCTCCCAGAGAGCCTACGCATATCCCTGAGGGCCTGTCCTTGAGATGGGCTGGTTGCCGGGGGTGGCTCTGTTGCTAGGCTACAGCTGGGTCTATTGGCAAGCCTGTGTTTCTGTCATCGCACCCACCCCGCCACCCCAGGTTGAGCCCCCCAATACCTACAGGCAGAATGAAATCCGTGAGCGGGGGGAGCTGGCTGGAGTACTTGTCAATCCACTGTTCCAGCTCCAGGATAGGCCCTTCCTGGAAGGCCGTGTGCTCTGAGGAGTCAGGGGCAGAGAGGCCCTACTGTAAGCAATGCCGCCAGACGACCGGGAAACACCCCATCCTCCTGCGTGAGTGTCCTGCTTTCCTCAGCTTCCAGGATAACTCCTCTCCCAAGGCAGAGAGCAGGGATGTCTGCCCTGCCAGAGAGTTCTGGGGCCCAGGCTCCCAGCAGGCAACACTCAGGGGCAGCCCTCACCCCAAGACCCCAGGAACTCCCTGAGCAGGCTGGGAATTACTTAAGTGAGCCTCTCTGGCTGAGGACCGTGGAGTGGCCAGGGCAGAGCCGACGTCCTGCAGACTGCACTGGATCTGGGAACAAGGGTGAAGAGAAAAACCGTTTGTGGAACGTGTTGGGCCTGTTGGGCTGTGAACCCAACTGTCCTAACTCTAAACACCAGGAAACCTCCTGAGCTGGGCTTGAGGGAGGGAAGGGTGGCTCTGGCCAAGAGGCAACCTGCACCCAGGCGGTTTCCTTCTTTCTCTACACTGACAGATGGAGTTTAATTCACTGGACCAAATGTACCAGTGCCACCTAAATGGTGAAGGATAGCCCATGGAGGGTAGTGGTCAGCGGGGCAGGAGGACTCAGGGAGGACACTTGTCCATTCCTGGGACCCACGTAGGTCCCAACCAGACTACAGCGAAGCCTGGGAGACCTCAGCCTCCCTTGGCATCCGAGAGTGACTCTGCTAGCAGATCCCCATTGGAACCCAACGGCAGCGCTAACAGGCAGAGGTCCACCTGGCTGAGACATGCCTGCAGCAGGGTCCCCGAGCACACGGCTCTTCAGCCTGGGCTGCCGCCCCTGGCACCGGGTTGTCCTTGCCAAGAGGCTGTCCTGTGTAATGTAGGATACTGACATCAGGAACCTTCTCACCACTAGACGTGACAAGCGTAGATATCCTTCCGTATTGCTGAACACCCCCTGGAGAGCAGAGTCACCCTTCACACGACACCTCTTACCTCACAGAGGAGTATGTATCCTTACTTCAGAGATGAGGACAGCGTAATTCTCAAGGTTGATTAGCTACCGTGATGCAAAGAGGCAACCCCTCAGGCCACAGGGACACAAGGCCCCATTGTGGGCTAAAATGACGTTACTTACCTTCTGAAGCTCTTCGGCAAATGTGTGGCCTTTTTCTGTGACCAACTCCATGGCAAACCTAGAGGGACGAGAAAGAATGAGCCCCCGACAGTGTGTCCTGGGGAGCATAAGTTAATGAGCTACACCAGCCATGGCAGTCTCTTCCTGCTGTCAAAGAGAACACGTGGACAGGGGCATTTGCTTCCTCAAGCACGGTTATCATTGTCACTACACCCAGTCGGCTGTCCTTTCCACGTGGACAGGCTGGTCCTGTCACTACGGCAGGGAACAGGAGACCTGCACACTGCACCAGATGCCCAAGTTGACCTGCTCATGGTGGGGAGGGCTTTCAAGGATGAAGAGGAGTTCGTTCATAAGGTAGGACAGGAGGAAACAAACTTCTAGACATAGGTGACTGAGGGACAGCCCTATACCCTGTAGCTCACAGAGCTGACCAGCTGATCTGCATGAGATGGCTTTCTAACAACAGTTCATACAGATCCATCCAGGACCCTCCAGCAGAGTGGAAAGCGTCACACAGATGAGTCCCTAATGTCCCACGCTAACCACGTGGAGGCCCGCTTACCCAATAGCCGAGCTTAACTCATCCGTGGTCCCCACGGCTTCGAATACTTGGTCGTCTTTAGGTCGCCTCTCTCCTGTGAAGGTGCTGGAAAACCCTGGGGGAAGATATTTAGCGCATTAAGATTGGGGGGGGGGGGTTATCCGGGGGTGGGTGTAGTGGGTTGGTCTGATGCTCTTATATGATAATGCTCACCACAGGCCCCTAAAGCCTGGTCACCCCAGAGACACGAGAGTTTACATGTAGACCTAAGTGACGCTATGTGACATTGCTATTCCTGATTGGTGAATAAAAATCCCTATAGCTGGGCAGAAGTGAGAGAGGCGGGACTTGGGGTTCCTGAGCTTGGAGTCTGAAGAGATAAGAGGGAGAGGAAGGTGCAGAGAGAAGATGCCATGGGGTAAGAATCCTAAAATCACGGCCACGAGGGCTGGCTAGTTGGAGTTAAGAGCAGTCCAGATGGAACACAGTAGTAATTCAGGGTTATTGATAGGAAGGAGATACTAATAGCTTAGAGGGTGATATCTGCCTCTAGTGCTGACTAAAGCTTATTGTAAATTAAAGGCCTCGCCGGGCGGTGGTGGCACACGCCTTTAATCCCAGCACTTGGGAGGCAGAGGCAGGCAGATTTCTGAGTTCGAGGCCAGCCTGGTCTACAGAGTGAGTTCCAGGATAGCCAGGGCTACACAGAGAAAACCTGTCTCGAAAAACCAAAAAAATAAATAAAGGGATCATGTGTCTTTTATCTGGGAACTAATTAATTGAAGGAGGGGAAGGAGTCCCTGACCGAGATTAAATTTATTTCACACGGGTGGGACAGGAGCTGGAAGGATGGCCCCGTGGTTAAGAGTACTGGCTGCTCAGCAGAGGACCCAGGTTCAGGTCCCTGCACCCATAGAATGACTTGCAACCATCTGTAGCTCCAGTTCCAGGATCTGATGCTTTCTTCTGGTCTACACAGGCAGCAGGCACTCACACATGTCAAATAAAAGTAAAAAATAAATCTTATAGCCGGGCGGTGGTGGCGCACACCTTTAATCCCAGCACTTGAGAGGCAGAGGCAGGCGGATTTCTGAGTTCGAGGCCAGCCTGACCTACAGAGTGAGTTCCAGGACAGCCAAGGCTACACAGAGAAACCCTGTCTTGAAAATAAATAAAAAAATAAATAAATCTTATAAAGATTTTTTTCCTGACACACTTAAACTATTTCTTTTTATTTCCCATATGTGGGTGTTTCATCTGCCTGTATGTCCACATACTATAAGCATGAAGTGTCCTTTTGGTCACTACCACCAAGGTTATCCTTCTTTCCTGCGTGCTTTTAGTCTAGACTAGGAACCACCAGTGAGCTTCTTGTTTAAGAAAGAAGGCTGTGGTACCACACCTCTGCATGCCCTGTCTCCTGTCAGACTAGGTCACAGCTCCTGCCTGGTGCCGTCAGCATGGCTTCATGCTGTCCAGCCACTGAGCCCGCTACAGTGTTGGTAAGTACAAATGATTTCACAGAGGGCCATCTGATACCCACACTATGGCTGTGACAGAGAAACCTCAACAAACCAAAGTAACCGTGTCTGAGCAAAGGAAAGCGACCAGGCATTGGCTCTCCTGGCTGATGGCAATAACATAAGTATCTCTGTCACAGTCCCAGCACCTTCCTGTACTTCCCACCTTCTAGGAACGATCATTAAGTGTCTTCAGTTACAGAACTAGCCTGGCTTCCCGACCACATCAGCTCCAGAATGAAGCTCTGCTTCTTTGACTCCGTCCCTGTACAAGCCAGGATAAGCCTCACCCTGTCCGGCCGCTACTACGGAATTCCACTGCTGGGCCATAGTGAGCCATGCCCCATCTGTGAGTCACCTAAGGCTGTCCCTGAACCTGTCTTGTGTAGCACTGACACCACTATCTGACATTTGTCACTTCCATACACATGTTTTCTATCATTCTGGTAACATACATGTGGTAGACAACACATTTACCATCCTGACACTTGTTTGCATACGGCTCAGTGATGGTAAGTACATCCTATGTGTGTGTGTGTATGTGTGTACTTTAGAATGAAAGGATATAACACAAACACAATCACTATTAATGATCTGTATGGTCTCAAACTTCAGAAAATGGTACCATAGCAGTCTATTTCTCAACTATATTATATTTGGTATTTAATAAATATTGAAGCAATAATTCTTTATTATTTAAAAAAAAATAAAAGAGTATGTGAAGTTTTGTGTATTTCCCTCTCCCACAATTGAAGTCTCTCTCTGACTACCAGACAAAGATAAAATCTTTCAGAATTAGCAAGATGGCTCAGTTGGTAAAGACATTTGCTGCCAAGCCTGATGATCTGAGTTAATCCCTGGGAACCAGATGGTGGAAGAAAACCAACTTCTCCATGCTGTTCTGTTCTCTGACCTCAAATGCATTGGGATATAGGCACATATAACACACACACACTAAATAAATTACAATTTAAGAAATCTCAAAGCCAAAGAAATAACCTCTCAGACATATCTGAATACACACTCATTATTTTCTTTAGAGACAAGGTCTCACTGTGTTATGTAGCCCTGGCTGTCCTAGAACTTGCTATGTAGCCCAGGTGCATACACACACACACACACACACACACACACACACACACAAGCACACTATACACACACATTTTTTTCCTTTTCTTTAGAGATAAGCTCTCACTATATAGCCCAGGCTGCCCTTAAACTTACAGTGATCCTCCTGCCTCTGCCTCTAAAGTACCAGGATTCCATGCCTGTGCCACCATGCCTACCATTAGAACACGCTTTAATCCAAACAGACTAAAAGTTCTTTTTACGTTTTTTAAATTTAGGCTGGGCAGTGGTGGTGCACACCTTTAATCCCAGAACATGGGAGGCAGAGACAGGTGTATATCTATCTGAGTTCAAGGCCAGCCTGGTCTACTGAGCGAGGTTCAAGGAAAGGCAGAGCTATGCAGAGAGACCCTGAGGTGCATATGTATATATATATGTGTGTATATATATGTGTGTGTATGTTACATATGTATGTATATGTGTTGTTGTATATGTATGTATGTGTATATGTATGTTGTGTATGTATATGTGTGTGCATGTTATATATGTATGTATGCATGTTGTATATGTATGCATGGTGTGTATGTATGTATATGTGTATGTATGCATGGTGTGTACATATGTATATGTGTGTATTCATGTTGTGTATGTCTGAATGTATGTGTGTGTGCATGCATGTTGTGTATATATGTATATGCATGTGTATGTGTGTATGTATGTATATGCATGTTATGTATATGTGTATGCATGTTATGTATGTATATGTGTGTATATGCATGTTATGTATATGTGTATGCATGTTATGCATGTATGTATATGTTTGCTATGTATGTATATATGTATGTATATGCATGTTATGTATGTATATTTGTGTGTGTATACATGTTGTGTGTGCATGTATGTGCACATGAGTGCAAGTGTTCACAGAGGTCAGAGGCAATGGATCCCTCTAGAGCTGAAGTTATAAGAGGGTATGAACCGCCCACTGTGGGTGCTGGGAATTGCCAAATAGGCTCTTAACCTCTGAACCATCTCGCTCACCTATGTCTGGGAGTCCTTACACTGTTGTACACTGTTTGTCTTTTTATTTGGTTCTGGTGTTGAACACAGAGCCTTCCGAATACTAGCAGGGCACTCTACCACTGAACTACACTCCCAATCCCATAACGTGTCATTCCCTTCGTTTCACTATGTTGTGTAGGCTGGCCTGGAGTTTGATATGTCACCCTAGCTGGTCTTGAACTTGTGACTCTCCTACCTCGGCTCCTGAGTGCTGAGATTACAAGTGTGCACTATGCCCAGCTTCCTTATAACTTGTTTTGAACACTTGGTGGTGCACCTTTCACATGGCTTCACACTTATAGTGGATATTCAGATCTGTCACATGGCTACAACGCGGCCTACCTTTGTCTCCTGTCTTGGTGTAAATCTTGGGGATCTTGGCTGCCTTCGAGGATGGCTGGGGCCTGATGAGAAACAGACACGAAGACCTGGTAAGTGGGAGCGGCTTATGGGGTGCACCTTGGCGAGTGGCGCCCAGCTTCTGATCTGCAACTTCAGTGGCAGCACTTATCCACCTCCGGGATGGCAATCTCCTGTCAGCCACTTCCCCTCTGTCCCTTCCTGAAGGCTTCTTGTCCTTGTCTCTAGCTGTACAGTAACTGCTGTAGTGCTCTGCTCAATAAAGACGCTCGGCAGATACTGGCTGGAAGGACTAACCGATCGAACACTCCATGTAGCCCCAGCTCCACCGTGGACTAAAGCCACTAGCTCCTGGAACTGCCTTAGGGCTTCAGGTGGAAAAAAAAATAGTTGCCGGGCTGTGGTGGCACAAGCCTTTAATCCCAGCACTTGGGAGGCAGAGGCAGGCGGATTTCTGAGTTCGAGGCCAGCCTGGTCTACAGAGTGAGTTCCAGGACAGCCAGGGATATACAGAGAAACCCTGTCTCGAAAAAAAAAAAAAAAAAAAAAAAAAGGATATTTTCACTTAAAAATTTTTTTGAGGCCTGGGACAGAACTCCAGTCTTTGGGCACACCAGGCAAACATTCTACCACAGGGCCTCATTCGCAGTCCTTGCTCTCCCTCCTCAAGAGTCTGCCATTTTCAAATAGCAGTGAGTAACTTAAATGTATAGCTTAAAATTAAAACGTGAATCCACAAGATTATTCAAAAGTCAGAGGACTGGACAGGAAAGGATCGTGAGTCCATGGTAGTCTGCAACTCCCGATGCAAGTTTCAAAGCGTTGTATCTTAATCCTAATCCAAATAAACTGCTGCTTGGGAGCCTGGACAAAAACCCACAAGCACATGCCCTTCCCTGACTGACCACTGCTGGACTGCGTTGGAACTTGTGCGGGAAATCCTCTGACGCCATGCTGACCCCGGTGACGTCAGGCCACAGAGAACAAGTCATCAGTGTGACGTAGCCACGGAAAAACAACTATTCCTCCTCGTGTTGAGTTATTCTCCCGGCCTGAAACTCACCTGTCCCCATCTTCCCCGCCCTGAGGGCCGCAACTCTGAAAACGGGGACACAGCAGCCTGCAGGCGCCGAGACGCCCGCGCAGGGCGAGGCGGCCCCCAAAGATCCACACCGCCATGCTTACGATAACGCGTCTAGAGCTGACCCGACCAGGCATCCATCCAGGCCCAAGGATGACTCCGCCCCGCAGCCAGCCGCGCCACCTCTCAATCGCTGTTTCCTATTGGCCTGTGGCACTCGTACCAGGGCGGGGCACTCCCCGGGACTTGTTTCCCATTGGATTACGAATACAAAGAGGCGGAGCAATCGCTACTTGTTTGAAATTTCTATTGGTCAATGTTCGACCCAATCCGTAAAGGGAGTCTCGGCTTCAGCTCTCTGATTGGCTGTAGGAAGACACACCCTCCTCCTTGGCTCTGCCCTCTGGTATGGAGAATACCGGGAGCTACAGCCGGGATTTCGGTTCACCTGGTCTCTGGCCGGGACAGGTAAGAGGCCTGGGCTGCGGGCTGGGAGGTGTGAGGGCCGGGTCCGGACACCCCAGACCGGACCCCGCGGTCCTCTGCCTTAGTTTCCTGGATCTGAGCGGTCGGCGACCTCAGATCGGACAGTTCCCCATTGACTGGAGTCTCGGTGGCTACTTAGTCTGCAGTGGGGTGGCTAGGGTGACGGAGTTCCAGTGAAGCCTTGAACCCGGGTGATTTTTGCATTATTTATCATAATGTCAAATGCATGCACCCATAAATCCAGCAAAAACACTTTGTGAGATTCTGCCTTGCAGAAGTTCTTGTTTAAATATGCAACACGGGGCGTAACAGGTGAGTCCCGCAACCTTGTTTATAAATTGAGACAGGTTGGATGTGGTCTCGATGTCCGGGAAGAGTTCTTTCGTCTGCAAGATTTTATGTAAACCTCGCGTTTCCATACCATCAAACACATGGCCGTCCTCATAGTAGGCGAGCACTCCACTGTGCACTTGGAGGTCATGTGAGTTTCTACCGGCAACAGTGATAGTAATAAAGACTGGATCTGAGAACTGGTCAATGCCGAGTAGCTCTTTGTAGTCAAGAGGCTATTTTGCCACCCAGCTAGGCCCTGCTGCTTCTGGTCCTTTGAATCAGCCTCCAGTATTGCCTCTATTATCTGATGTTTGGAAACAGATTCATGGCAGTTTATATAAGACATACTGGGAATGGAAGAGCTGGGGTCTGAACCCAGATTTTTTTTCCATTGTTCAGCTGACTGGCTCACTGCACTATCATCCTGGAACATAGTTCCGGATGGTAGTTCTGTGAAGAGACAGTTTCTCTACATGGTCCTGGCTGTCCTGGAACTCACTCTGTAGACCAGGCCGGCCTCCAACCCCCCCCAGAGATCCACCTGCCTCTGCCTCCCGAGTGCTGAGATTAAAGATGTGCACCACCAAGCCCAGCCTTCCTGGTGTTTGTAACTAACATCTAGGAAACTTTGTTTTTCTCTCTGCCTTTTTTCCTTTCAGGAATCTCAGGAGCCATGTTGTCAGAAGTCCTGCTGGTGTCCGCTCCAGGGAAAGTCATTCTCCACGGAGAACATGCTGTGGTCCACGGCAAGGTAAAAAGTCCCCAGGGATTTGAGCAACTGGGTTCCACTTCTCTGTGACACTGAATTTGAAGAAGATGAAAGACAGACCTGAGGTGTGTAGGCTGCATGAATATCTCCAGCCAGACAAACCTTAAGCTGGCCCCAGTCAGTAAACAGCAGAAAGATGGTTTCCAAAACCTACAGGTTTTGGGGAAATCACCCAGGAAGTGAGTGCTGGTGGAGGGGAAATTCCTTGGAGAACCGGACTCTGGGCATTCCAGTGTTGAGGAACTGGAAAGATGCTCTGGTATGGTAGAGGTGTTTCACACATGGATTAATCTCATTTAACCCTCGGATCTAACCCAGGGGTATGATTTATAGCCTTCTATTTTGCAGGTAAAGCTGAGGCTTAGGAGAGAATTGGTAACTTGACCAAGCATGTTATACCTTCACAGCGCGGGGAGTGAGCCTGAGTGGATCTGAGCCTAAAGCTTAGTTTTTTTTTTCTAATCTCTCCAACTTTATGGTTTCGTGTGTGTCCATCTGTCTGTCCGTCCGACTGTCTAGGCTAGGAGACAACCTCAGGTGTCATTCCCAGGAGGCACTGTCTCCCTCAGATTTTGAGGCAGGACTTCTCACTGACTTACAACGAGGACAATGGAATAGGGGAGGACAGACGGCCAGTAAGCCCCAAGGGTCCTCCTGTCTCCGCCTCCAGGACACACGGGCGCCCGGTGCATGAGCCACGCCCCCTCAGACTTACTGCAACCCTCAGACCTACCACTGCGCTTGCCCTTTATTCAACAGGTAGCTCTGGCCGTGGCCTTGAACTTGAGAACGTTTCTCCTGCTGCGACCACAGAGCAACGGGAAAGTGTGTCTGAATTTACCGAACATCGGTATCAAGCAGGTCTGGGACGTGGGCTCACTTCAGCTGCTGGATACAAGCTTCCCTGGTTAGTACAAAGATGAGCAGCCGGGTGTGGTAAGAGCCTGGCCCCTGAAGAAAATGGGGAGAGGGGGACAGGGTGACCTCAGGCTGCCTGTGATCAATCCCGGGAAATTGGCTTCATTCATTTACTACTGTTTGTTTGTGACACCAGACCTCACAGAGATCCGCCTGCCTCTTTCTCTCAAGTGCTGGGATTAGACGCATGCGCCACCACACCTAGCTAGTTCATTATAAACGTGTAGAACCGTGCCCTGGATCTCTGGATTCTTGTGGGCAGATCATCCAGGCTCACTGTAGAGTAAAAATGTTAAGCGGCTATGTTAGTTAACCCTTCTCGCTGCTAGGACAAAGGCAACATAAGCATGTATTTTGGCTCTCCATTTGAGCATAGTCCATCTGGCTCCCAGCGGGAGGGTTAGGTGCCTGGTCACATTGCCTCTGTAGTCAGGAAGCAGAGAGAGAAGGATGGCTCTAGTCCCCCCTGTTATTCAGTCCAGAACCCCAGGGATGGCACCACACACACATTCAAAGTGAGGCTTCCTACTTAAGTTAAACTTCTCTAGAAACGCTCTCGTAGACAGTGCTGTGTCTCCCAGGTGATTCTAAATCCTATCCATATGTATCCTCAGTACTTGGGCGGGGAAGGCCAGAGGATCAGGAATCCCAGAACACCTCCAGCTGTTCAGCTGTGTGGTAAGTTCAGGGCTAGCCTGGGCTACGTGAGACCACATCAAATGAAACAAGATAAAAGAGACAAAAGGATGGACTGTCACAGAGGTGTGCAACAGTGTCACAGGTGTGCGACAGTGTATGTGTACTTACAGAAGACGGTGTGTAAAGGTACAGGAAAGTCTATGGGAAGAGCCGTCAACCAACAACAACAGCTGGTTCCTGGGGTCGATGCTATGACAGGATCGTGAAAGCTGTTGATTCTGGTTTTAGTGAAGGGTGAAGGCACTGTTCTCGTGTGGCTTGTTATTGAGCAGAGGGCCTGGGTGGCTCGGTGATAGGGTGTACGCTTACCAACGTGTGTTTATTAGTGGTTAATCCAATCAATACTAATGAAGTGTTGCTAAAATTCCTTCCCAGGGGAAACAAAACATCTCCTCCTCCTAAGGTCACAACGACAAACCAAGGTACAATTACTCCAGAGTTCACTCTGGGGGACCAAGGAGTTCGTTGGACTTCCTTACAGAGTGTATAAGTCAGAGGTTGGTTATTGGAGTGTGGGTGCCCCCACATAAAGCCCTCACCAGGAGGCTTTAACCAGCAGGAACGATGCCTGTCTCAGAGTAACATACATGGAGCCCCCACCCCTAGTCTTCCCCAGTCTATATACCCTAGCCCCTCATGAGGTCACATGCAGTTATGGCAGAGTTGCATGCAGCATGGTAGGTGCTAGATACTCAGGTGGGGGTCTTGTGACCCTCCCCACCCCTCTGTGAAGGGCACAGACAGTCACCAAGCCCAGCTGGGATAATTGTTTTGGCAGGGGGGTACAACTGAACTCCCCAAGATGGTGGTTGCCTGGCTCAGAGACCAGTCAGGAGCAACACAAGGCGACAGACACCTCATTGTGTCAGCTTCTTCAGGAGCAACCTGGGCATTCTGGCACCAGCCCTTCATGACTGGCTTCTGGGGATGGGAACTCAGGCCGACTGAGAGATGGAAACTCCATGTCTCTGAAACAGAACCTGGCCGCGTCAACATCCTAGAGACGAGGGTGCTTTTCTTTTGGGGTGTCAGCACTTTCCCATGTCGTTAACCCAAGGCCCCTGTGCTGCTGCTACTGGTGGCATGGGAAGAGCAGAGGTTACAGCCGTCCAGGCTAGTTCCCTTCCGTCAGCAGGGTAGCGCCTGCCCCCATGGGTCTGGTCTGACCCTGGTCTGCTGCCTCTTCTCTGGTTCATGACTTTCTCAGAGAGCCCAGGGCAAGCAAGAGCCCTCCAGGACTACTACCAGCCTGCTCCCAAGCCCCGCCAGAGCCGGAGTAGCACTGAAAGTGTTGGCTTGATGTGTGGCTCAGTGGGAAGAGCTGGCCTTGATCCCCAGGAAAGAAAGAAGGAAAGGGCTGCCTTTATCTAGACTGGATCCTTTCTATGTACTGGGCCTTGTAATTGGCTGGGGGTGGGATACTTTTTTTTTTCCAGTGTCTGTAGTTCCCAGCCCTGCCCCTCACCTGTGGAGAATTGGTAGAGGTTGTGGGAAATGACTTTATTTTTCATGAAGTGCCCTGGGTGACTCCTGGGTCCCCTCAGCTCAGAACCTCTGGGACTTAACTTTCCATGGTGCCAGGCACTCGTTAGGACAGAAAAGTTCCCTGAGGACTCGCAGCTGCTTTTCTAAGTTGGTGTCTAAAGTGGCAACAGCCAGGCATGGTAGCTCCTGGCCAAGATTACGCAAACCCGCCCGGGAGTCCTGACAGGCCCAGGGGCAGCGGCATGTGACCTGGCCGAGGGTTGCTGTGGAGAACCAGTAGGATGCGCGGTGGGTGCCGGGACTGTAAGTTTGCTTCGGTAGGAGAGTAAACGAGGCTCTGGCTGCCTCCTTTCGGAGTGTGGCACTCCCTCCACATAATAACAGGCAAAGTGAGCAGGTATTGCGCTCCCGTGCTGGACTGTGAGCCAAATATAGCCTCCACCAGTGGACCCTAAAGTAGGTGAGACCATTCGTCTCCATTTGATGGCCGTGATGGTTAGGTTGAGGCGAAAGGCTACCCCATGTTGTCATGGATACAGAAAGGGCTCAGACGCAGGTCTCTAACCTCCAAGATTGGTCTGTCTCCATCCCAGCACTCTGCAATGTCGGGGTCTCCTTGACCCCTTGGTTTGGTCCTCTGGAATACTTCAGTGTGTTAGGCACACATGCACTGAACCCTCAGTGGGTGGGGCCTTGAACCTTCCTCACAGCCACACCCTGCCTCCGTTCTGCCTGCTGACCTGAGGCTGGGAGTGATTTCCACACGGGAGCTGGTCGGACTGGATCAGCCTCCTCTGCATCACAAAGAAAGGTAGCCCAGGCTCCTGTGCGGCACTGGACAAAACGTGTGTGTGTGTGTGTGTGTGTGTGTGTGTGTGTGTTTGTGTGTGTGTGTGTGTGTGTGTGTGTGTTATGTGTCTATGTGTGTGTGTTGTATGTGGTAAGTGTGTGTGTGTGATATGTCTGTGTGTGGTGTGTTATATGTGTGGTGTGATTGTATATGTGTTGTGTGTCTATGTGTGTGGTATGTGTGTGGTGTGTGTTGTATGTGGTAAGTGTGTGTGTGTTATATGTCTGTGTGTTGTATGTGTGTGTATGTGTGGGTGTAGTATGTGGTATGTGTGTTCTGTGTGGTAGATGTGTATGGGGGTGTGGTATGTGTCTGTATGTGTGGTGTGTTATATGTGTGGTGTGTGTGTGTGTGTATGTGTGGTGTGTGTGTGTGGTATGTGTTGTATGTGGTATATGTGTGTGTGTGTGAGTGTCTTTGTTGTGTTGTATGTGTGATGTGTTGTGTGTATGTGTGGGTGGGTGTGGTATGTGGTGTGTGTGCGGTGTGTGTGTGTTGGGAGTGCCCAGGACCCGGCACTTACTAGGGCCTTACAGCTGAGCCACATCTCCAGTCCTTTTGCTAATTGTCTTTGAGAGAAACCTGCTGTCTTTGATTTGGTTTCAAAGGCTGAAAGGTGAATCATAGCTTTTGTGTTCAGCACGTGCTCAGACTATTAGCTAAGCACTTGGTCTGGGCCAGGAGCTGTACTGAGTCCTGCCTGGTCCTTGTCTTTACAAGGATCCTCTTACCAAGGTCCAGAGACAGCAAGCCACTCAGCTGAGGCCCATGGGTATAGTGAATGATAGCTAAGACCCACACCTAGGGCTGCCTATACCCCAAAATGCAAGTGATGGGTACACAGGCCTGGAGGGTTGGGACCCTTCTATCCCATGCTACTGCCGGTGTGTTCTGTGGTTTTACAAACATCTGCTCTGAAAGCCTCTCACCCACCTGTTTGTTTGCCTGTGTGACAGAGCAAGGTGATGTCCCGGCACCCACCTTGGAACAACTGGAGAAGCTGAAGAAGATGGCGGACCTTCCCAGAGACTGTGTAGGCAATGAAAGCCTGTCTCTGGTTGCCTTTCTCTACCTGTACCTGGCTATCTGCCGGAAGCAGAGGTGTGTGTCTGGTCTGTAGGAGCCCACTCCGGGAAGCGTTCCAGAGAATCCCTGTGCCTCATGGGTTTCTAGGGATGACGGCCATAGGTTGTCCTCACAGTGTGGCAGCAACCCAGGCGAGAGGCTCCAGAGAGAGAGAGAGAGAGAGAGAGAGAGAGAGAGAGAGAGAGAGAGAAAGAGAATGAGAGAGAGAGAGAGAGAGAGAGAGAGAGAGAGAGAGAGAGAGAGAGAGACCATTTACCTAGTCAGGCTATAGAGTTGTGGTATGAACCTAGCTCACGGGAACACCAGTGTGCTCACCCCTCACCCTGTGCTGTGTCCTCCTCTGCTTTTTAGTTGAGCAGAGCAAAGGGTTTGCAATTCCTCGGGGTGGCCTCTCTGTGGTGTGACTGGAGGGAGGCGCATGCGGGTGTCACCATCCTGCCACTGCAGTCAGCAGTGTGAGGTCCCTTCCGAGAGACCTGAGAGCCAGTGCTTAGGACATGACAGCAGCGCTGAGCTGAAACAGTGTCACGAGGCGCTCCGGCATGGCCTCATTTGAGGTGTTTGCCCGCTCTGAGGCCCAGCTTCCCCGTGTGAAACGGTCCATCAGTAGCACCAAGCTCTCAGGATGATACGGTTTAATCTGCCTAAACATGGAGCCCGGAGCCTGATGTGTAGCTTGGTGCATGGTTGCTGTGACCGTCAGCCTGGTTCCTCAGGCTAGAAGAGGTGACTTAGGACTGTGACCCCAGCACTCAGGAGACTGAGGCAGGAGGACCGCTATGAGTTGCCATGTGATGGGACCCAGAATGACTTCCAGGATGACAGCCTGGGCTCCAGTGTGAGACCTTGTCCCAAACAAACAAACAAAAACCTAACACTGAGTCAGGCTGGGGATATGGCTAGTGAGGGTGTTTACCTAGCATATGTGAGACTGAATCCTGTCCCCGGTGCTTCACAAAGCCTGGGTTAGTAGAGCACATCTGTAATCCCTACACCTTGGAGGTGGGGGCTAGGTGACCAGTCAGAGCCATCCTCATCTACCCAGCAACCTCGATGTCAGCCTAGGCTTCACAAGACCCTCTCCAAAATGGCAGGGGCTCACAATTGCACATGTGTGCACACATGTAGTAAATTCATTATTAAGTAATAACAGAATATTCTCAAGATACAATAAGGAAAATTGGGAGTATATTTAAACTGATAAGGCAGACATGGCCTTGTCAGGCATGCTGTGTGCAGGAGTTTGGTGGGGTGGGGTGGGGTCGGGAGGTTGGGTTGAGACATGGAGCCATAGCTGGTCTCAAACTCAGTGAGACCAGGCTAGTTCAGTACTCACAGAGATCTACCTGCCTCTGCCTCTGGAGTGCTGGGGTTAAAGGTGTGTGTCACCATGCCTGTGACAGGTATGATTTATTTTTTAAAGATTTATCTATCTAATATGTGTATCTATTTGTTGTGTGTGTGTGTGTGTACACATACATGAGCACACTGTCATCAGACACATCAGAAGAGGGCATCAGATCCTGTTACAGATGGTTGTGAGTCACCATGTGGGTGCTGGGAATTGACCTCTGGAAGAGCAGTCAGTACTCTTACCTGATGAGCCATTGCTCCAGCCCCTCAGGTGTTATTTATATGCAAAGTGAAAGGCAGTTAGAGCAGCAGATGCTAGCCCTACCACCACCAGGCCCTGCTGAGGATATGTAGCTGACCTTGCTACTTTGTGACTCCTTTCTTCCACTCTTTTTCTTCTTGAAGGAAAGGGGACCAATGATGGAGGGAAACCAATGATGGAAGGGGATGTCTCAGCGGGCCCATGCCCAAGGCATCTCTTCCCCCTGAGGGACCAGCCACACACAGTATAGCATAGAATAGAGTTTATTCAGGGCATGGAGGAGGGGAGCTAGGAGGGTAGTAGAGGTGGGGGGGGCAGAAGTAGAGGAGTAGAGGCCGGCCATGACCACATGGAGAGAGGGGGAAGGGAAGAGGGGAGGGGCGAGGGTACAGAGAGGAGCTGGAGGCAAGAGAGAGAGGAGGGGGCAAGCAGCCCCTTTCATAGTGTGTAGGCCTACCTGGCTGCTGCCAGGTGACTGTGGAGGTGGAGTTTAAACAGAATACTAACAATTCTTCCACCCTTTCAACCCCCTAACACTAGATAAGAGGGAAGGAAAGAGATCCCCAAATAAAGTCGGGGGTCAGAAAGGGGGGCAACATTATTGTTAGACTACTTCCTGCCTCAGGAGCAAGTTTGGTCTTCACTGGCAGGATAACTAGTTTCTTCTCGCTGTCTCTTCTTTTCACACAGCTACTTGTAACAACACACTCCGCTGCTAGGAGGCCATAGCATTTATCTACCCTCTGAAAAGTCCCCAGAATTCCAAACGGTCACAGGATCTGCAGCTGGCAAAACCACACCCCTGCTAGAGCACGAGGCAAATCATAGTCAGCTGCTGCAGCCGGTCTGAAGCAGCCTCATGTCCCACACGTGGGGTTAAAATGAAACCATATAACACTTCTGTGTTTTTTTAAAGAAAACAAAATTGCCGCTACAGGGCTATTCATTCAGCTTGGGTAGCACACTTCGCTTCAATTGGTCGGGCCAGAGTCTCCCCTCTGCACAGGGTGGGCACGTGTTCCTTGAAAAGTCATGCTTGGTGTCAGGTAGCTACAAAATGAGAACAGGTCTCAGACATTGCATTACAATGTCAGGTCTTACTTGAGGGAGGTCTCTGTGTGATGGCCTGATTGTTCTTTTAACGGAGCCACAGTAGACCTGGGTCCTATGTGTCAAGTAGTGCCCGGCGTGTGTGGTCTGGGAAAGTGTCAGGTGAAGGCACTTGGTGAGCTCCAGAAAGATGGCTGGGAGGTTGACATGGCGCAAGGCCATGCCAGACAGACAGATGGACGGACAGGACAGCCGGTGCTGAGAATCAGGCCAGGAAGGATCCTTCAAAGCAGGAAGTTCTGTAGTTCACAGCGATTCAGTTGAAGTCTGGTGCCTGTCTCCTGGTCATCAGGGTTGTGTTGAGACCCTGACAGTCAATGGAGATTGCTCCCCTCAGGGTCCAGATGCTCAGACACCCCTCCCCCAATGTCCATGCCTGGCCCCGGGTTCCCGTTGGCGCTTCATACCCTTTAAGGGAGTCATTTTTTGTACCCGGTGTATTTCAGGACACTCCCGAGCCTGGACATCGTGGTGTGGTCGGAACTGCCCCCCGGGGCAGGCTTGGGCTCCAGCGCTGCCTACTCCGTGTGTCTGGCAGCCGCCCTCCTGACGGCCTGTGAGGAGGTCTCCAACCCTCTCAAGGACAAGGGCTCCGTCGGCAGGTGAGGACTGTCCTGCTCACTGTCTTCCTGTGTTGGAGCAGTGGGTAGCTCTGGGGTTTGGAACACTGTTGTACCCCTCTGAGCCTCAGTTTCCCCTCTGTGAAGTGGATAACCCTGCCTTTCCCACAGGATTTCTCGTTGTGTCTGTCTCTCTCATTTGTCTGTGTGTGGGGGGGCGGGGGTGAGGTAGAGTTGTGAAATCCTCACAGGACACGTGAGAAAAGACCCAGAGGCAGAGGCTGTTGGGCTGGATTTTGCGTACACTAAGGAGCTGTGGTCCCAGTACCCGTCTTAGGCCCCTGTCCCCAGGCATTGTACAAGAGTATTCTTCCATCTCACAGTGTACTCTGGCTTCACAGATGAGAAAGGTGAAGTTTGAGGACTGGTGTAGCAGACAGGGTCTAACCAGCACCCCACACAGCACCCAGCACAGTACCCCTTATAGTACCCCACATAGTACCCTGCACATCACTCAGCACAGTACCCTGCACAAGCACCCCACACAGGACCCAGCACAATACCCCACATAGTACCCCGCATAGCACCCTGCTCATCACCCTGCACAGTAGCCTGCACAGCACCCCACACAGCACCCCACACAGCTCGACCAATGCAAGGGAAGGGAATTTCCAGACAGGAGCCAGACTGAGGAGGGGGAGAGGGTGGGCTGCATGTCCGAGTTCCTGCTAGTGTTTTGGCCTGGTCAC